AATATTTTAAAAAATTGAAGAGTTTGAGATCATTAATTGAAGGATCATCCTTGACCTCATGGCCTTCTTTACAAGTTGTTTCACGTTGACAACGTGCAGGATAAGAATGAATAAATGACCCCAGACCTTATCTGCGTTGTCAAGGCTGCGACATGAGGATGTCCTGCTCAGTTCCTCAACATCCTGTGGTATTGTTTACACTTTCTCGGCTCCGCAAACAAACTCAAATAACAAAAAACAATGCAACACCTGTGCTTCGTTAACTCCGAAGAAAATGCATATTTCTCAATCACCGTAATGAATAAAGTTTAGATATGTTGCTGGGCTTACCCAGGCATCATCAATGATATAGCTGAGAAAACTCCAACCCCAAATTTTTTTACTCAATATGGAAATGTCATAAAAGCCTCTAAACTTGGGTTTTCTGAACAAAGAACTCACGGGGAGCGAGTTGAATGCACTTGTTAGTTGTTCCGCTGAATGTTGGCGCGGTCGTGCTAAGTCCGCTCCCAGACAACTGGTTTTCTGCACATGCGACACAACCTGAGGAGATTCTCTCAAATTGTTTCGGTGGCCGGAAGTTCAAAGATGGCCGTTAGTCGTAATTTCATGACGGCGAATGACACATTTTAGGAATTCATTTGTTACGGTAATTTACATATTGTTTTAAAACTTATTCCTTTATGAATGTAGGAAGCCAGGCGATAAGAGGTGAGGACCACGGACATCAATAATTGGTTGCAAAATTGGGTTTTAACTTTTTATTCTACTGATGCTGTTATTGGCTGTTCGATTATTTCTCTGTAAATCCATTACATTTAATTCTTACTAATTTGCTCATTTATAAATAATCGAAGTCTCCGCGTTTCACGGATGCGACGCTGACATATACTCGCGATTATAATTTATTTTCCAACTCGTCCCAAAGGAGCAAAACAATCGGTTTATTGATTAGTTAGTTTAGTTTAGTTTAGTGTCCAAATGTTTACTAGCGCTTCAGCTATTAAGCTATCTCGCACCGAAAGTCAAGATGAACATCACCATAAAGGTGGAAGGTCTCAATTATTCATCACCCACAAGGGGCGGAAGGTCTCAGATGTCCAGCCCGCTGAAGCTGGCTCGAAGGAAGCAGCTGCTCGAGAGAGACAGAGAAGGGAAATGTAAGGAATCCTGCCTACATAATAACTTAACCCCACAACTGAGACCTACAGTCAGACACCGCGAGCTCAGCGGTGGGGCGCTCAGGAACAATCCCTCTAGGAGCGCGAAATCCCATAGGACTTCTGACGAGCACAGACACCCGTCAGAAGTCCCCCCTGAGGGGGTTTATTGATTAAAGTATGAGACATTGAGCGGGTGTTTAGTCATGAAGCTGATTAAAAAAAACGGAAAACTCTGTTCGGTATTTAATTGCTAACAATATAAGAGACAATACTGAATGATTTAGCTGTCTGTTTGATGAACTGTCATCGCAGCTTTGATAAATTATTACATATCATTGACATCATTTTTAAGCTATTACAATGCTCAATAAGGGGAGCATTTATTACACGATAACAATGCGACGTCGTGCCCTATGGTCCACGCTTTCGAACGCTGGTTTGTTCTGCAAATCAAGCAGCGCCATAGCGTGCTTATTCACGGTTTTCTTCCCCCAATAAATCGTCACATTTTAATTAACACAAAGCGTTGACATGAGAATCAAATCAACTTCTTCAATTGCACATTCATTTAGCTGAACAGACATGCAGTAAATTGAAAAATATTTTAACACTAGATTTAAGCTGAGCAAATTAACACCGATGCACTTGCTTCCAGAATCGCAACCAAAGAAAATGCTGAAGCCGGTAAATTCGCCGCAAGTCCTCGCACATCCACCCCCCACGACTGCTGGACCGCCACTGGCCGTGCAGCTTCCAGCGTCCAACCGCATTGTTCACCTGAAGGTCACGGTCACTAGCGGTCATCGGGGCGCAGTGTTAGTCGACTCGATCAGTTCCTAATACCTTTTCAATACAAAACGCTACAACTAGTTTAGAAAATGCATTTTTAGGGCATTGATTATTATCTTGTGCAGTTAGTTAACAAAATTGCATATTATAAAAAGATACGCTCTGAATTAGAACAAAAGCAAGCTCGCAGCTGAGACGTTCGCTACATGACACGCTGCGATGACAGCCGAGATGGCGGTAGAGCTTGAAGACTTGATAAATAAGGATAAATTAATTAAATATTCATCGATTCATAACAGTATATTTGTAAGAAATTTGAACAGTAAAAATCATTCGCATATGCAGAAACGTACAAAAATAATATTACACTTTCCCACATAATGAATTAAGAAGTTGCACATCCAAGACAAGCACAATTCTCAAATGCCGAGCGTAAAACGGACAACAACATAACTTGTTCGGATCCATCAACGGATGCGAATGATGTAGTATTAGGCACGTAGCACATAAAGCTTTCATTCCTTCAATTAGCTGAGTTCAGTAGCACCTCAGGGATAAGCTCGTCACGAGTTGCATCAGTAGATAAATATTCTCCATATCACCATAAAAATATCTTTGCTGGTCCGTTATAAAAATATAAAATTGTTGTACCTTAATTTTATGAAAATTTTCAGCGGAAAAAACCAAATATTGCTGTAGAGTGTAGACACTACCATCATCTACATAAAAATTAAATCATTTAGAGAAAAGGTTAAATATTTCCTACATTTGGCATGAGGTGATCAGTCCTCAATATAATCATAAAGCATATAATATAATCATAACAACAACAACAAATACGTTCATAAATCACAAGGTGTTGCCATAACTTAGAACACAAAAAAGTTCAAAATGTCGCCCCCATCAGGGTGATTACGGCCAAATTCTCATCAAATTATAACGGCTAATTATGCGATATAAATATTTTCCAATTATTTTCACAGTATATTTTTGTTAGGGGCTGCAAAAAATAATCAAGAACATGAATCTATGTGCTCCTAATCCCAATGCTCCATTTAAAATATGGGGTTGACAGCGTCCGGAAACTGTAACCGATTTATTACACAGACACTGACATTATATATTACATAGACAGCGATTAAAGTCGAACGCTATGATGGCAAATATTATTTTACTAAAAATAAAAAACAAAATAACTCGACGAAAAACTGGCGAAACTTCTTATATATAGCGGCACTTTTTCTGAGTCATGGAAAACGAATCGTATTACCACATGTGAAACAGGAAAGTGCAAGTAGAAGTGTAACCTCTAGTCTCTACTTAGATATCTAATCTTTACTATCTGGCTTGAACCTTTTACCGTTGCTAACCAACAAGCGAAGCATGCTTCGTAATCCAGCTCAGGGTTAGAAATCTGATGCACATTAGCGTGAAATAATTAGTTGAGGTTAATTATACCGAGTATAAATGTATATAAATATCATCATCATTTTTTTAAATAAGCTGAAGATGATTATTCAAGAGTGCATTTAGAAACTTATTTAATAAATACTTGCATGCCTTAGTTACATTCTAAAACATTTTGTATGCAGAAACTCGCGCCTGGAGACGGACAATATAAATAGCTTTAGTTATTTCACCTGCGCCCATGTAGGCTCAACAGGTACGGGCGACACTGAGTCTAACAGCGCTTTCGCTATGCCGTCACATTGTGGCTCAAGCCAAATGTAATTCATAGCCAAAGAGGTGGAAGGCATTAGTTGGAAAACATTCTCTTGAATCTAAATCATCATATGCACCTAGGGACTGTATACCGTAGGAGAGGCATTTGAAAGATTATAAGAGATGCACGCAAGAGAGCCTTGAAAACTGATCAGCAAATCCACGCACATAATTCAGATCAGGTATCGGCTGCAGCCCGAACCTTATAACGACATTCTAAGTAAAGCCAAGACAGGTTTATCAAATTTCGCGTTGATTCATTCGTGACGTGGCACCTGACAAAGGGCCAAAATATTATTTCTGTAATGCATTTCCAGCAAAAGTTGATGTCATTACCGCAGTTTTTGAACTTCATAAACCAATTCGAGTACCGTAGTTCTGAGGCACACAACAGAACCTCTATCCAATCCAAACTTTTCTTGTTTAAATAGGTTTTACGGTAGATTTTCTGAATCCCTTATTGTCACTTCGATTGATCAATGACAAAAATGAGGCAACCTGTGGCTATTTCAAACTACGGTTTTACACGGCACACACCGTAAGAAACACCTACTGCCATGGCAACAGGAGACGGTCAGATATCAATACAACTAACCAAATTACCGGACATAAATAGCCACACAAAGACTAAATTGGCACGCCTGCAGGAGCTTGCGACTCGTACTACGAAGAGTACAATAAGAGAACACGAAGAACTTTCATCTCTCTCCTGACATGCAAGAGGAAAAAAGTAGATGAACAATAATCTGCAGGCTTAAAAAAAATAATTGAATGTGAGTTTTTCACTGCCATAAAAAAACACATAAAATAAAGTTAATAAACCCACATAAAACAACATGAAATGCACATAGAGTACTCGTTTTTTGGAGGAATCAAAAACGATAAGTGTCATGGAATACAAACTACATGAAGTAACGAGCGTGTCGTATGCAGTCAACACGAAGTAACAAGAGAATTTTCTTGGCGTACAGATCACAGGAAGTAACAATGTGGAAAAAGAGGCGGACAAATCAAGTAAATAATCCAGCAGTTTTACTATTATTAAGAAGAAAAACGAATGGGCTTAGGACACTTCCGACAATAGTACATTTATACGACGACACTTATTTAAATAGACACTTTCAACCAGTGGGTAAAGTTAAATTATAAATTTAAAACTTAAATAAGGAAGTGTAAATATAGGTAACTTTCTAGAATTAATGCTTTAATCCTCCAACAAAAATCGATTCAGTAATAATAAAATAGGTGCAAGTCTATCATCATCACTTTTCTTCGAGCACAGAAAATTCATTTGTGAAATTTGTAAGAAAAAAATACATTATTTCAAACATAAGCTTCGGTGCTTGTCTTCACTATACAAAGTTAAAACTTAAAAATTGCAGAAATCAACAACAAACTCATCGAACAACTTCCCTGCACCAAGGATTACCTTTAAATACTTTAAATACGCTATAAAAATTCAAAGCTGGAGAGCATAGTGAAATAGGGAAAATCAGTCGACCATAAAGCCATCAATGTTCCCAAACTTCTTTTGTAATCACGTTCCACTTGGTTGTCCCGCACAGTTATGTCAAATTGCCTACAAGTGTACACCTATATAAATCATCAGATGTCACTAATACTTTATATAGTTGGTCTCAGTTTCATTAAATGCTACTTGATGCACTACGTAGTAATAATTAGGTTTATTTAACAAAGGGACAGAATATGAGAATCCATATAGGGGACTGAACCTGAGACTAGATGCAAATTGTGGCCAGAAAATCACGTGAGAAGAATAAAATTTTTTGTAAAAATGACTAACAAAAAATTTTTGATGATCATGAATTATTTGCATTTCACAGGTTGGGTACCATTGCTCTGCATGCTCTACACATCAAACAAGCTCTTTTTATCTGCCTCCAGCAAGAGTTCCATGAATCTGTCATTCAAAATCTTATTTTTGCCCTCAATTAGTTCCTGGGCTATGGGAGCCAGCATTTTCTTCATTGCTGCTTCAGTGAGAAACTGTAATGATGGGCTAATTACAATAGGAGTTAAGACTTTAGCAGCAACACTTTTAAGTTTGCTGCTCAGAGAGCTTCCAGGTCGTCCAGAAGGATTGCTAGCTTGAGAGCTGACTTTTTCCCCAGCTTTGCTTAGAGTGCCTTGAACTAAGCACATCCCCAAAAGGAGTCCCACTAAGGATGTGCGTTCAAATTCAGCCATGAACTGCTCAAAGTTCCAATCAGAGACAGGAGTCTTCAAGTTTTCCGAGATGCTCATAAAAGTTGTGTGGTAATGGCGTAAAATAGTATCAAGGTGGTTTTCACGCAAGGCCAGAGTTGTTGATGAATTTAGTAAATAATGAAGATCAAATACTGGATTGTTCCACTGAGCCATCTGCCAATCTATCAGCTTGATGCCTTCAACATTCCGTTGGCCATCTTGATCATTGGTACTATAGCAGAACAGAAGGTTGTTTATCCAGTAATCTCCATGTGAAAGACACAGCATTTCATGTTTACTTTGATCATCATAGATCATCTGAAATTTTTTGCAAATTGCATGCTGATTTTTCTCTAACTTGACCATTATTTCCTTCTGATCTGGCAAAGTTTTAACATATTTTAGAACATTCTTTAGAGTTATCATGGCAACAGGCTTTAGAAATTTACTGATAACAGGGTTGATTATCAACACGGGATATTTTTTGCACAAATCAGAGCTCAAACTATATGAACGTGAGAGCGCATGCAGCCTTGCAATGTGCTGAACAGCCAGCATTGTGTGTTCCAGGTCAAGGCCTTGAGTTTTATCCTTCAATTCAAATCTGTTGGCTTTGCAGTTCTCCATCACAAGAACATACTCTGAAGCATTGCAAATTCCATAAATATACTCAGGCACACATAATCTTTGATCTTCATCTTGGTTCACAGCATTGGCTAGCCAGTGAGAATTAAGATCACTAACTACTTTAGAATACAACAACAGTTCTCTCTTGTGTTCCTGAGCAGCCTTTATCAACTCACGATTGAAAGGTTCAAGGCTCAAAAATTTGGCAATAAAACTGTAGTCTTTCTTCAGTGATGGTGAGCTTTCACTGTCATTGCTTTGATGGTGTAGCTCAGCACTGGCATCCAGAAGCACCAGTTCTGCATTGAAGCTCTCTCCTGGTTTGGTCGCTGTAAATAGAAATCTTAGTTACATTCATATGCTTTTTGGTGACATACCTAAGTGCCTAAATGGAAATAAAAATAGGTAGTGAATCACTGATTCATCATTAGATTAAGAAAATGACTAAATGTAATTTACTTTTCAGCAATAAAAGTTATCACAAATGGATTGAACAAGTTAGGTCATCGTTAGATCAGTATATTTTTGGACTTAGTGTCCATATACCGGTATATATATATTTAATTTTTTATAGGATGATAAATATTAAAATAAATGCAAAAGTCAGTTGGTAAGCTGACTAACTATTGGCAAAAAGCTCATGAATACCCCATTTAAAACTATTATTATCTATATAACAAATGACTGATAAATAAATGCATAATGAAACTATACTGGGTTCCACCTCTAGAACACGAATGAATCTTACCCTGAACAACACTGAAGGAAGAGAGTTTAATTGAGACATTTGGATGCGTTTTCTTGGCTTCATATTGCTGCACAACAAATTCCACCCACTCATGAGTGATGGCATAGGCATTTGAGGGAGACTTCATTTTTAACACAATCAGAAAATTAACACAATATTACATGGAGTGCAAACATTGAATAGAGGAAGCAAATAATACAAATTTACTGCAAATATTTTTAAATCTATATGCACTCTTGATTTAAAAGCTAAAAAGTAGAAAAAAATTAGTACATGTACATGAGGATAATAGAGATGTAAAATTTTAATTTTTTTCAGAAAGCAATGGATTTCCCAGATCATGACTGATTGCTGTATAATATATACATGTATTTTGATTGAGGATGTGAAAACTGTAAAAATATCTAATCAACTCAAGGAAGAAATAATTGTTATGCCTTAAAAGGCACATATAGGTATTTACCTTGCAATCCAGTTTGGCACACTAAAGTTAATGATCTCAATTTATCTGCATAACAGGTCAAAGGTGTTGTAAAAGCTGCCAATTTTGGAAAAGGATGAACAGTAACCTCTTGTCTGCTCTGAATGAATGGAATAGTCTGCTGGACAAAAGGGAGCCAGTAGATGCAGTGTAATTCGACTTTGCAAAGGCATTTGACAGTGTCCCATATGAGTGGCTGTTGCGTAAATTCAAGTCTTTGGGAGGCTCCAAAATTGACATCAACCTGACTTCATCATCACTCTGTTGTAGCAACTGTGCAGGCTCACCAACATGTGGAACAGCCTTCCTGATAGCATCGTTGATGCTCCGAGTATGATTGCCTTCAGGAACAGATGAGATAAAGTATGCAGTATGCAGCCTAATGCAGGAGCATATTTTCTGTCTTGAAATGCCCAGCACAGAGGAACAAAAATTACACCTATCTGAAAATCAAGCCCACACTGGTATTATTATGAATTAAATAGTGTTGAATCACAACAAATATTGAGTAGTGCACACAAGATTGTACATGATGATGTCGATACATTTCAGAACACTCTTCAACACCACCACTCAAACATTCAACTGGCAGCTATTTTATCAACTTTTTCTTTAATGTTCAGTTCAAGAGTGTCTAGCTTTGTTATCAAAGATTGCCTCATGGCATTGAACTTTGCAATAATTTTCAAATCCCCCTTTTTCTCCTTTGGTTCTGCATATTCATCTGCTGCTTACTCAAGAGCTTTGATGCCCTTTTCAAGAGCTTTGATGCCTTTTCTTCTTCAGTTCATCTAGCTCATCCAACAAAACCTTCTTCTGGGTTTTCTGGGCTTTTGGGTTCTGCTCTTTCTCTTCTGCCAAATAAGTATTGTAGGCTGTTTTGGCACTGCCAGCTGCAAGCAGCATCTTCTTGGTGATGATCATCTTGTCCAGGCCACCACCATGTACAACATGATCAACCACAGCACCCAAGGCAACCACCATACGCTCTTTCATGTTGTGTGTCATGATTTCCTTGTAGAACAAAAACCCTCTTTCAACCTAGCTTGACCACAAGACAGGAGCATGAGCATCTGTAGGTGCTTCTTGCTACATTCCAGAGCATCTGTAGGTACATTCCAGAGCTTCTTGTAGGTGCTCTTTGACAAAATGGCATGCCAAAAAGTGTCCAGTTGATCAGAAGTTGGAAATGCTTGAAACTGTGCATTCAGTTCACAGCTATGTTGTGATTCATCTGCAAAGTTGCACATCTCATCGCACACCATCCACATCTGTGTTAGGGAATCTCTTGGCATCACAAGCAAAGTGAGACAGTTCTTAAACTGTGTCTTGTCATCTTCCTTACAGTCCTTCTTGATGAAGACCTTTGGCACCAGCCAAGCAACCATCTCAGGTTCCTACCAAGACCATACCTGATAGGGCTCATGTCCATTAGATTTTTGGATTACAGCCTGCATGAAGTCTGCGCTCATTTCTTGAAAGTGAGAACTTGCAGTGCACTTGCGTTCTTGTCAACAAGCTGTTTTTTATTGCGGTTCCTGGAGGGAAATCAAAATGCCTTTTGTTCCATGACTTTCCATGACCTGAAATGAAATCCAATGACTTTCCAGGCCTGGAAAATTAAAAATAAAATTCCATGACTTTCTGGGTTTTCCATGACTGGTACGCACCCTGCCAGCAGTTACTGATAGCACTTAGCACCTTTGCCACCTTACAGGCCAGGCCAGCTATATCAAGTCCAGCAGCTATCTCAATCAATTGTCAGTTATGGAAAAATTGGGTTCAAAAGGATGGATCCTTTGTGAATCAAGTCACAAAAGGTACAAGAATTGGCAACAGGCCATGGGATGGTGCATGCCACAGCATGGTGGGCCTATTTCTTCAGTGCTAACACTTCTATTCTATTACCATACATAAAATTTTGATTTAAATTCTGAGGAAATTAAAATAATTCAATCCTAAAAGAATCTCTGGTTTGCCACTATTACTGCATGCTCAGCAGCAGAGTCAGTAAGTAACCACTGTACATGCAATGATGCAACTAATGATGCCACTTGATGGCAAGCTCATCACTACTCAGCGGCAAAGTTGTTGTTTTGTCTGCTCCTTGAGGAAGTGGAGTCGTCCCACTGGCCATAGGTGCCATACACCTCACGGCTCAAAACGGCTCCCTTGTCTAGCAAGCCAATCTGTAAGAATGAAAGTAATTAGGCAACATATCTGTGTCTTATGAGAGTTAGATTGTGCGCCTGATTACGCAGTCTATTGACTCTATTCTCAATGGCAAAGGCAGATCCACAGCGGCAGGCAAAGAAGGAGAGCTCTGGCCTCCATCTAAAAACTCTCCCTCCGCACCTAGGCTACACTATGGCGGTGGCAAAACATGCTCAGTTAGCTAAGAGTCCTATTGTTTTTATGTCAAAGAATTCTTTGTTACGAAGAAAGGAAAAAAGTTCAAAATAGTCAGATTCTTGAGTTAAAGGCAAAGTCACTTCCCAAAATCTGTCATGAATCTGTCACAGCTCAAACCGGAATTGATCTATCAAAATTCAAAATGAACAAATTACCTAATGGCAAAATTCAGATCAATCACATCCTGCCAAAAAATTGAAGGTTTTTATTATTTGACTGATTTTTGATGAGCTGATTGAGAAATAAAATATGACTTTTAACCTTTCTTCAATAAACTTCAGAAGTCTTATTTCATTACATGAGTGAAAATAATCATCATAATCCATAACTCATATATACTTATAGGCTAGTCTCAAAGACTTGGGTATGTCTCTGCCAACATGGTTGTACTTGTAAGTTGTATATATGTATATAACCATGTCTTACAAGGTTGAACTTGAACTTCAATACTAGGTATATATACTATAATACTAGTTCAATCATGGCCTCTAGATCATACTGTTGTCAGTGTTGTGGTGACCGAAGACAGTGCTGGACTTAGTTTAGGGTTTAGGCAACTGGCAACTGTGGCAAGCTATACATAAAAGTATGCATATTTAAAGTTAGTAATTGAGAGGAGCCTGAGGAGGAGAGAGTCAAGTTGAGGAGGAGAGAGTCAAGTTGAGGAGGACAGTTTGGACAGATAGTACAGGAAAGCACAATAATTAGGGATGTATGTATCAACTTGACATTGAAGATCCTCAGATCCCACTTGTTAGAATAGATATTATTTAAAATTTGTTTTTATTTCATTTATGTTGCTTATTGGCTATTGCCATGTGTTGTGCATTATATGCATATAGCTAATTATTTTATGAAAAATTTTCTATATGGAAAAAATTGTACCTATGTAGGCCTATTTTAGGGAAACTGCTAGATGTAGATGGGAAAATTTTTGAGCCGCTGCTGATAGATTCAAATAGCATCATTTAGATTCATTACCGTTATTATTTTTCTGACAGGAAATATTTTTCTCTTATAATTCCACATGTCTAGACTATACGCACTACGCAGTAGCCTGTAGGTAGGTTATATGCCCTGTCTTACAAAAATATGATAAGGCATGCTATTGTACCTAGTAGCCTAGGCCTACTTATTCATACACACTATCTCAATTATCTCATTAGTTCGAGATTTGCCCTACTTTGGAATCGAAAGTTTCGATTCCTTGCCTCCATCTCACAGTCACAGTCACACCAACCCAAAACGGCAGTAGGTTAGTAACGTTAGTTGCTGGCTGTCTAGGCTGATACCACTGTCCCAGAAAAAACTGTGCTCCTCCTGACATGGCGAGTAGCATGATAATTATTGGCTTATAGTGCGGTCAGTCTAAGCAGAAGCTGCTATTGGCCTTGTGCAGTAGGACCTTTAAGTTATTCACGAGTAGCCTGAGTACCTAGGCCTATTACGACACTCAACTGCCTAAGCCCGTGAAGGGAATTTTGGAAATTCTTATATTCCCAATTAAGGTGCAATAGATTTACTTTTTAATATAATCTAAAATTGCCAATAAATGTTTGTCCTTAAATATTTAAGAGAATATTTTCAACCAATTGGAAAGATAAATATGTAGGACTCCTTCATTACAATGGTTGAACCATAAGGCAACCAGTCTATAGCAATTGATCGACAAAACCGTGTATCACATTGAACAGATATGTTTATGCATCATATCAAAAAGCAAAATTTCAGAAGTAAAACATGGGTATTACTTATTATACATAAACATAGCCAATATACTGTTGAACTGTGAGCGCAGTTAAGCATTCCCTCATACAAGCACTTTAAAATTTCACGTTAGCTTTTTACTAGATGTTATTTGAAGTTTCTATAATTTTTTAAAAAGTTTGGTAAGTTTTACTTGAACGTTTGAATCCTATAAATCAAAAATGTGGGTGATGGTATTTGCTTTAGAAATCCCCTCCTACAAGGCTACAGGGATTGATAGCTATTGACGTAAGTACTTGAAAGTGATTTTACTAATCATCGCTTGGACCTGCTCAAGAATATAAAACAATCCAATAAGGCAGACCACGCAGGGCATTGTTGACCGGACACCGAGTGCGAATGTAAAGGGCTGACCGACCTAATAAGTCTGTGTGGAGCCGTACGCCAATTCAAGTGACAGCATTACCACTCTAAGTAACTGGTTCAAAATTCTGAAATGAATGCCCCTATAATTGTGTTGTGCAGTAACAAATAAAGTTAATTAATTCTTAATAAAAATATGCCTACCTTCTACCCGAACATTATCAATAAGAAGCGAGCACCAAGAACAGGGCTCTACTCGCTCCCCGACTCAGTGGGAACGCTATCAGGTCAGTGATGCTGACCAGTGACAATTGGATGGAATTGAATTGTCGGTGTAGTAGGCACTCAAGCCTGTTCACCCGCCTTGTTCGCCCTCAGCATAGCTGCCCCATTAGGTTACACGCGCAGATGGTGCACCCCAGGTGACTGCAAACTGAAAGGCTAATGGTAGCACTCAGGATCGAAAAGGCCCGGTCGGTCCGCCCAGCAACTGTCAAGCCTGCTCTTGAAAGCGCTCACAGAGGGGGCAGTTACGACGCTGTCCGGAAGGCCGTTCCATACTGACAGCACTCTCTGGGAGAAGAAGCTTGATCTCACATTTCTTATACTGCGTTCTTTGGCGAGCTTCAGGCTATTACCTTGTGTATCCCTTCCGCGGTGAGGATGCAGCTTCGGCCGGTCGGCATCATAGGCTCCATGGACATACTTGAAGACATCAATCATATCCCCTCTCAGTCTGCGGTGCTCCAAGCTAGGCAGGCCCAAAGCTACCAAACGCTCCTGGTAAGGCTTGTCTTTGAGACTTGCGATCAGTTTGGTCGCCCTTCTCTGGACATTTTCCAGGTCAGCGCAGAGGGTCTTGTGTCGCGGCTGCCATACTGATATCCGTATTCCAGAACTGGCCAAACAAGAGACTTGAAGAGCTGAACGAATGTTTCCGGAGTAAGAAAATCAAAAGTGCGCCTGATAACACCCAAAATTCTGTTAGCCTTCCCAGCTATTTGAGCCACATGAAGGTAGAATTTTAGGTTTCCATCCACTAGCACTCCCAAGTCTCTCTCCGATTCGCTCTCCTTCAGCGGCCTTACATACTCATTGCCCAGAGCTTCTCTACCCATCATATTATATTGGGTGCTGTTGCTTCGATTTCCCAGATGGAGGACACAGCATTTTTCGGGGTGGAAGCGCAGCTGCCAGTCTGTCGACCACTTGTACAGCCGGTCCAGGTCACCCTGAAGGGTCTCTCTGGCAACTGCGTCGTCACTGCGAGCAAAGACCTTGGTATCATCAGCAAAGAGCTCCACATGGCTCAGGACATGACGGGGCAGGTTGTTGATATGCAGAACAAAGCATATGAGACCAAGGACACTCCCCTGAGGTATACCGCTCACCACATCAACTGTACTTGACTCTACTCCGTTGACAACGACACATTGCTTCTGGTTTTTCAGGAAATCCTCAACCCATCCCAGCACTCTCCTCTTTATTTTATACCGTGTGCTTCAATCTTTGCCACCAAGCATCGATGTGGAACACTGTCAAATGCCTTCATGACTTCATGTAGTCCATGTAGATGGCATCTATAGAGCCCCCATCGTCCAAGACCTCTGTCCATATGTCCAGCGTCTCGAGCAGCTGTGTGACGCACTAACGCCCTCCAATGAACCCATGCTGCTTTCTGCTGACAGCCTGACAGCTGACGAGGTTGTTACGGTGTAGATGTGCCATGATTCGCTCTTTCACAAGGGCTTCCATACATTTACAGAGAACACATGTCAGGCTAACTGGCCTATAATTGCTGGCCTGCAGCCTGCAGGCGACTCCCTTTCTTGAAAACTGGAGACTGGAGTGACCCTTGCTTTTCTCCAGGCGTCTGGAATAGTGCTTGACTGTTGACTCCAGGGATTTTCTGAAGATGATGGCAACAGGCCGGGCGATTGCGTCGGCGACTTCTGCTAACAGGCGAGGGCTCTAGTCTGGAAAAGTCCTATTTTTGTCTGAAATATCGCGGCTCTAATATCATATAATTTCAGTAGGTATGAAATCTCGCGGCTCTAATATCATATAATTTCAGTAGGTATGAAATCTCGCGGCTCGAATGTCATAAATTTTTGTTTGATTAAAAAATCGCGGTTTGCACTTCGCAAACATGTAATTTCATAAAATTTTCAACTTCCGCATGGTTCAAGTTTTGATTGTTTGCTTCTGAGCTTCTGGGACTCCGGTAAACAACACCTACGCAAAGAACTTCATCATCCGGCAGCTGGCAATCAACCAACACGAACTCCTCGAAGGCGCTTGGCAAATCTCTACGAATCGGACGCAGCTCGCTCCTGACGTACAAGCAAACCCCCCTCCCCTCCCCTTCCAAGTTGTGGAAGACTTCGTATCCCTGAATCAAAATCTCACACTCTTGAACTTCGAACCTGGAGTTTTTGGTTTAACCTCGGTTATTCCTACCATGCTCGGTCTGCGCAGTTCTATGAGCGCCTCCAATTCCGATCGCTTGTTTAACAAACTGTTGGCATTTGTGTACAAACACACGAATGACTCCACCGCAGAGGCATCAGAGCAGGTGCCTGTATTGCAATTTTGTTCACCTGATCTCCCACCGTCTACCTGCGTCCTCCACCGGGGCTCACTGAATCGGGTACTTGCCCACGTTCACCACCTTGCCGTTTTTTCTCACCCACACGGCATCACTATCCCCCCGTCGTCTTGACTCCTCCTGCTTCTCTTTCATTTCTCTGAATAAGGCCTCATCCTCCATCCGCTCTAATGGGGTCAAATCCCTACGTGCACCTATCCTCAATTCATTTCGACTTCGACATTAATTCATTCAAGAAAATTCTTTTCGTCTCAAGGCAAGTTAAATAAATCAAGCCGCCAAAGAAGGAAATTGAAACCCGGAATAAAAAATCTTTCATGTAAATCAATATGCTGCAAATTTGCAAGCGTAACACCCACATTCAAGAACAGAAGTCCAAACATCAATCATCGTCCCTCCATACATAAAATAGCAAGATTAGGTTCTGGAGACCCGAACAATTCAATAATGCCCTACAAAGCAAGAGCAAGACGTGTACACCAACAGTCATCTCTTCTCTGGGGCCGCAATCCACATGGGGTCTTAGTTACTAGGAACTCATCCGTGCAGAGGGAAGTTCGTCATGAGTAACTCAACAAAAACTGTGTACACTTTTCTTTGTCATCATTCTTCACAACGCTACCTAATATTAGCATTTCCTGCTGTTGTGCACGCTGTTTTAACTACAACTGCAAAATACAACTTCAGTTTTCGATTATGAATGATATTTGCATTTACGGCGAGTTGCATTGAAATATTGTGACTCGAAAACGTCATCCATACACCCTACCAGGTTACAAGTCAATGCGCATCAATGGAACCGACTAAAAAACAGACATTTATAAACCAAAATAACTCTAAAATAGTTTTTTCGAGTGGGTTAAGATTGCGTATGCTTAATAAATTAAATAAGTTAGAAAAATAACAAGAATTCTCCAAAACTGAAGAAGTCGCAGCAATTACGCATGACCGAAAGACGGTTCAGGCACATCATATTTTCATACATCATTCAAAGAACCGGTTAAATTACCTCGTGAGATAATGAAAAATGTTAATATAAGTATCTAATGTCATGTCGCTCGTAACACACATAAGTAGAAAATGAAACAACACTATAAAGTTGTCACGTACATCAAATTTCGAGAGCATCCGTGAGTTCTACTTTTCCCAATGCTGAAGTGCACAGAATATGGAAGCATATTTGCAACAGAAGCCTCAAACTCATCTCAGTGCACAGGTTGAGTGAGTCGCACGCACACACACGTTTGTGTGGTCCAATTAGGGAGCACTTACGGTGCAAGCGTCACAAGTACAATCTCCTGATAAGGCACTCAACTTTATCTGCTACACTTAACAAACATCACACACACGAGTCGAACAATGTATACAAGAACGAGAACGTTAGAACTACAACACTCATGGTAATAGTATTCTCAGAATCTAATTGATATAGTCTAAGTTCTCATGTCATTAAATATTTAACTATTAAACTCAAATCGAAGTCATCACAAAAACGCGTACTAAAAACTATCGTTAAAACATAGGCCGTGGAAGTAGATGAAATGCAACCTAGTGAAAGTGAGGTTCGAGTCTTACATTTAAACTCACCGCGCCCCATCCGTCGTAACAAAATTCAAAGTTAGTTAAGTAAGTGTCAACCCGGACATCTGATATCAATGACGTTTGAATCTAATGACTTCAAAATGACAGTCTAAAATTGAAGGTTGAGTGCTCTGGGATTGAATATTAGAGACATCCCGGATCAAACAGCACCTTTGATGTTTCGAAGACAACCAGCAGATTTTAATATTTAACAAATAATCTAAAACGATAGTAGAACAGTAAGAAATTTTTGGGGATATTCAAAAACAACGCTGTGCTCGTACTGAAACAAACTCGAGTCTTAAGAGCTAAAACAGGATGCTAACACAAACAAGCAACACATCAACTGCAACCCTCGTCATTAGCTTAAAATATAATAGAGAGAGAAAGGAACTTTTCCGTTACTACCTCTACCAACCACAAACACCTTCCATGTTACCCTTCTATTATGAGACTACAATATGTACCAGAGGGAAGTGCGATTCAATTTGATGAACATCCACATAAAAATTAGAGCAGATTTGACCCATGGCATCTCATGGCCTTCAGCAAGCATGTTTTGTATTTATCTTGAGTATAGTATTAAGCGCGCATTAATGTAATAACAAATGAATCATGAGGAAAAAAGAGGTACTCAAAAATATTTTCGACACACTCTAATTATTTGGTCCAAATTAATTTGAAGTTGTTCGAAATAAAGAAAAAAACGATATTGATCAAACTTTCATGTGCGAAGCAATTCCAATAAAATAAAGACAAAAAGTCCATCATTTAAACGTAAGGGGAGGGCAAACAATAGAGCTTGCCTGCACGGGCTAAAAGAAAGGAGCTCAGGCGGGGCAATAGCAAGGACTTTTGAAGAGTGAAGCACCTGCAAGAACTGGAAGAGTACGGCACCTACAAGAACAAAAAGAGAGGGGCACAGCACCGTTGAAAAAAGAGAGGGATGACTGCAACGACCAAAAGAGAGATGAATGACTGCACGGACCAAATGAGAGATGGATGACTGCACGGACCAAATGATGACTGCACTGACCAAATGAGAGATGGATGACTGCACGGACCAAATGAGAGATGGATGACTGCACGGACCAAATGAGAGATGGATGACTGCACGGACCAAAAGGAGAGAGCATGAAACTACCAAAAGAGTAGGGTGTCTCAAGGCAAAAAAATCAGAAGCTGCAAGACTGGAGCTGCAAGAATGAAGAAAGATATGCCTGCTAGGACCAAACAAGAGTCAGTTGCAAGGATTCAAAGATTGGACACTTCCAACAACTAAAGGAGAAGGGCGCCTGAAAGGATCAAATAGAGAGGCATCAACCACAAGAGGAAGGCGTCTAAAAGACTGAAGATAAGGAACTGCAAGGAAGAAGGCACCCCAGAAAGTTGTCTTGAATGCGGTAATTTCACTGACATCTTTACAGTGTATGCCAAAATTGAAGCAAAAGTCTACGTTCGGGCAATACACCATGAAGGCATGAACTCCAGCAGAAGTAGTTGGTAAGAGAGCCCAGTTTATCGAGAGAATCACAGCCGAGAGCGCGTCTTCAGTGAAAGTTTTGAGCGATGCTGCAAAGAATACAAAGATAATAAATGTTCAGCCAAGAGAAATTCATTTTGTTAGGAATAGACTTCAAAGTTGAAAAATACAGCACATGAACATCCCGGTGACCACTTCATAAGATAATCTCGAGATAATTATATCAATCTAATTGCCAAATACATGGTGCAGAATTATGCTTCTAACAAACTTTTCATAGCAGTGATGAATCTAAACTAGACAAATAATACATCAACAATTTGTTAGAGCTCAAACACAAAGACTATTCTTATAATTACCAGTAGTACAAATTTAGAGTATCTTTTAACTGAAATAACTATGTATTTGTGCCATTAATAACAATCACTAGGTACAGTATACTCTAACATTTTCATTGAAGCAAGATGTGAACAATTTATGAACTTAAGTGGTAAAATTATTTTCATTGATCTATTTCTAGAACAAATCTATTTTTTTCATTGAAGTAATATTAGCAGACGCCAGAATCTTGAGCACACCAAAAACTTCAATGGGAAGGGGAGATGTAATTCGGCAGCTCGAAACTTATTACCTCAAGCACCCCAATAACTGCTCAGAAACTTGTTATCATGAGCACAGAAATTTCACAAGTAATAACTGTCATTTAAAAAAAGAGAAACCATCTTTCATCACCACAATGTTACAACATATTAGAACCAACTGATTCTTTTGCATATAACATAATCACAAAGCTAAATGTTGTATAAAAGTCAACAAAATCCAGTCACCTAAAATAAAACCTTCAATTCCTTATTAAAAATAAGTTAGAGTACCAAACATAGAAGTTCACAAAAGAATTTTGTAACTGTAACCAAGTGCTAAGCTTAGTTGACACCTAGTCTGAACCTGAGAAGATTTCCTGTCATACTTGTGACAAACAAAATGAATGTTCTCAGTGAACACCACTTGATGTTAAAAAATTAGAAAATAAATATCAATTTAAATGCTTGATAAGCATTCAAGCTTGAGATGGCACAGGCCACAAACAGAATAGTTCCATGAGGAAAGTGTGAGGCAATATATTAAGAGAATAAATGAAACCTGGTAAAGAAAATTTATGGAAACGGAACTGTACCTGCCAAATAAATAAATAGCCCCCAAAATACTCATATGAGGAACTGAATAGCAATGGAACACAGACTGCAAAAAGTATTGCCACAGGAAGATAGTTGAGAGAGCATTTGAGTTGGAGTAGAGGAGGCTTGAGTCATATAAATATGCCAGCAAGCTACACCACTAATAAGAAGTCTAAATTAACAAACACTTTTTACTCAATGATCCTAACTAGGTATGCATAACAGTTCATTATTAAAAAAAATTAACTCCTATTTTGGAACAGGTATTGTGATCTAAAAAAAATAAAAAATAAACAATAAGAAGAGATAGGCACAGATAAAAATAAAGCCTCAATTACATACATTAAATTTTCCAAAGAAATGTGAAGCAATGAACAATCATGAATATCCTTTCATCATTTATTAAACAACATAGCTTAACATTATTCATCCTTTCATTATTTCTCAATTACCATGGGTAAATGTCCATCAGTTATCATAAGGCACAGAAAATCCCTGTGGGCAATTAGTAAGCATCCCTATATTCTGCTTTGGCAACTATTGTGGTAAACAATATAAAGAATAATTATGCTAACGAGTAGAAGGAATCAACAACCTCGACTCCTCAAACATCTTTGCACTAAAAATAGTCATTATATTACAATAGTTCAGTGCTACATAACGTAGCTACAAAAATGAAATCGGTCAACGATTTGGCTTTACATGCTCAACACATCAAGCAAGCCTTTCTTCTCAGCTTCCAGCAAGAGTTCCATGAACCTATCATTCATTATCGTATTCTTGCCTTCAATTAGTTCTTGTGCGATGGGTGACAGCATCTTCTTAATTGCCATCTTGATGATGAACTGAGATGATGGTCTTACCGCAACAGGAACTATGACTTTGGCAGCAACACTTTTGAATTTGCCAGTCAATGATCTCCCAGGTCGTCCAGAAGAACTGCCAGCATTGGGGTTGATTTTTTCACCAGCTTTGCTAAGAGTGCCTTGGATTAAGCACATGCCCATCAGGAAGCCCACTAAGGAAGTGCGGCCAAATTCAGCCATGAACTGCTCAAAGTTCCAATCCGGCACAGGAGTCTTCAAGTTGTCCGAGATGCTCATGAAAGTTGTGTGATAATGCCGCAAAATAGCATTGAGGTGGTTTTCACGTAGAGCTGCAGTTGTTGAAGTGTTCAGTAAATAATGAAGATCAAAGACTGGATTGCTCCACTGAGCTATCTGCCAATCTATCAACTTGATGTCTTCTAATTTATGTTGGCCATCTTCTTCATTAAGATTATAGCGAAACAGCAGATTGTTGATCCAGTAATCGCCATGAGTAAGGCACAACATTTGATGTCTACTTTGATCATCCCACATCCTCTGATACTTCTGACTGAGGCCATGTCGGCCCTTTTCTAGCTTGGCCAAAATTTCCTTGTGTTCTGGTAAGGTTCTCAAGTATTTAATGGCATTTTCAATTGCTGTGATGACAACAGGCTTAAAAAGACTGCTGACAACAGGATCAAACTTGAACATAGGATACTCTTTGCACAAATCAGAGCTCAAACTATATGAACGTGAGAGCGCATGCAGCCTTGCAATATGCTGAACAGCCAGCATTGTGTGTTCCAGGTCAAGGCCTTGAGTTTTATCTTTCAATTCAAATCTGTTGGCTTTGCAGTTCTCCATCACAAGAACATACTCTGAAGCATTGCAAATTCCATAAATATACTCAGGCACACATAATCTTTGATCTTCATCTTGGTTCACAGCATTGGCTAGCCAGTGAGAGTTGAGATCACTAACTACATTAGAATACATCATCAATTCTCTCACATGATACTTAGCAATCTTTATGAGTTCCCGGCTGAATGGATCAAGACTTAAAAATTTCACAATAAAACTGTAGTCTTTCTTCAGTGGTGGTGAGCTTTCACTGTCATTGCTTTGTTGGTGTAGCTCAGCACTGGCAGTCAGCAGCACCAATTCTGCATTGAAGCTCTCTCCTGGCTTGGTAGCTGCAAATAAGAATTTGATTGTAAATAATGAAATTAATTTAATTATCACAATATGGTTATGATGAATTTAATGAAATAACCCATCAGTCATCAGTACTAAGTTTGGACTAAACATTACACATAGCTGTAGTGAGAAATTTTTTGGTGATACTAATGTAGAATATGGATATCAATTTTCACATGGCTATGAATCCTTTGATATGCAGATGTTTATCAGTGAATGTATAATTGACACTTTTTGTCTCTACTACAATCGACTGAAATGAGCCTAACAGAGCTAAGCTGCATTCTAACTAATTTATACATCAAATAAAAACTTACCCTGAGCAACATTGAAGGATGTGAGTTTAATGGAGATATTTGGTTGTGTTTTTTTGGCTTCATATTGCTGCACAACAAATTCCACCCACTCATGAGTGATGGCACAAGCATTTGATGGGGTTTTCATTCTAAATGCTAGGAGAGAATCAGGCAAATTGTTTTCAAGAGGGCAACAAATATATAATGAGTGCCACTTGCATAAACAAACTCGAAAATTTACTATTGAAATCTTTAGTAACAATACTGAAAATGATACAATAAATAGTTTAATGAATCTTGAACAATAGAGTAAAAATTTTTATTCTAGTAAGTATTGTAATCTCACATCTCTTTTACCTACCATCATAAACAAGTAAGTAGCAACTATGCCAACACTAAGAGAGAACTAGATCTTAACAGAATGTTTTGAAGCAAAATAGTATTCATGCTCCTTATGTCTGATACAGAACAGATCTCCCTGATGAACTGCAAAAGCTAACAACACATCAAGCCACATTTAATAAATCATTAAATTATTTGTATCATTTATTATGATTAAAATAAAGACATCAATTGTGGGAAATTCATGATAGAGACAAATGGAGAACTAGGCAAGAAGTCTGACTTTTTTGTTACTTATATATCAACTGATAATTCTAACAAATTCAATAATGATGGCAACAGATTGTTCATTATAATGCTAATTATCACATAAAGACTTGAAACATGTTTTTTTCACACACTGACCATCTGATAAAGAATTTTCCTGCATTAGAGTGTGCCTAAGACAGCCTTAGACAGGATTCATAAATGTTGTAAATTCATTTGCTTTCAATCTTTATTCTGGCTCAACACTTTAATGGGCATGTGACAATAAATGATCACCTAAAAATTCCTCCTAAAAAGACACAACAGCCTCCAGTTTGCATTTGCTGCTACATTATCATGCCTCTGCCAATTGCCAATCATTTCACCATCCTTCCATACATAGCATCATCCTCTACTATGACCAAGAATTTGAATGTGAGATTCAAATGAAATTTTTGATGCAGACTACAAGATTAGTGCACCTTTCATATTTTTTAAAAGGTAGAAGTAACAATATTTATTCAATTAATTCAAGTATTTGATGCAATATTAGTAAATTGAAGTTGGATAGTTACCCTTTACATTTGCATCTTTTAGTTTAAATTACATAACATTTTTGAGTGTACCGTCAAATGGGATAAAAAGGGACAGTTTTGAGCATTTTGTGTGGATAACTTCTTAACATGAAACATTTCAGAAACATGTTTAGGCTCATTTTATAGCTCTTTGCAAGGGCTATCCAATGGCATCTTCAAAAAAATTCCATATGCTATTTGTAAGGTGCCAGACGCAAAATAAAACTGTCCCAATTTACCCCCAGGAACGGGGTAATCCGGGACACTTGCAATAAAAGTTAATTTTAAAACGTTTGAAGCATGCAGAGTGTACTCATCCATTACTAACAGTACTCTGTAGTCCTCCTCTTTCATTGTAGATGATGTAGATGTAAAATAAATGACATTTTCTGTGATTTTTACTTGTTTTTCCTTTATTGATATTATATTACCATATTCATTAATTACCGTATTATTAATGTGATACCTATTACTGTATCCATGGAAATGCCATTGAGCATTGACAATGACCTTGTCCACTGCAAGCTTCATATCAGTAGCCATGTAGCATTTCTTTGGTATCTGCAAGCTTACAGGATGGTTTGTAATTTTGCACAATTTTAATCGAGTCAAGTGATTTCACTATAACAAAAAAGATCGTGAAAAACATACCTGAAACAGAAAATAATATTTTAGTGAAAACCATCATATGTTTTGGAGAAATAAATCATAGTTTAGGTCAATTACTTTTCATTCTATGATGCCCAGTGCACAATTCTATATACCTATAGCATTCTACGTACAATTTTGTGACGACCAATGATGGACTAATTTTTTGATAAGTGAATTTTTTTTCGCTGAGCGAGGTAAATGTAATCAAAATTCTTTGTTGTTAAATCAATTTTTTTTGTTAACTGGAACCTTTGCTAACTGAGGTTCTACTGTAAATGCATTTTTAAGGGTGTCCCTAATTACCCCGGGGGGTGTCCCTTTTTACCCAGTCGCGCGGAAATGGCTGCCATTTTTTTTTTTTTTTTTTG